CAGTTTGTGGACTATCAAGCATCACTCACTTGAAAGTTAAAAGTTATTAAATAATAAGCTCTTGATTTTCATTCAGCTGATCTCTAATTCAGAAGAGCTATGTCTGCCGTGGGACTTCTGTAGTGCACCTCTATCAGCACTAATGGGAGAGATGTATTATTCTAGGTATATGTCTCAGTTTAGAATATGACAAGTAAGAACTTGTCAGGGTGCTTTCCTGAAACCTATCAGCTCAACTGAGGAGGTAGTTATTTCATTGTTTATTTTCTCCCTTGTTTATTTTGTTGAAATCTATATCTCATAACAGCCAGTATATACCACTTTGTATGAATAAATAACTTATATATGACACAGGTGCACACCTATCCAAAGGAACAAATAACTGCTAAATTATGACTAATAACCTGTCTTAATTTCAGTGTAATTTACATTAGTAAAGCCTTCAAAGTATTAAAATCACCTTCTTTTCTTTATCCTAAAAAAGCAATTAAAATGGTAACTGCTAACATTTATTAAAATTCACATTGATTATTGGTATAGCTGGAGGGAAACTGCTATATCACCTAGCTAAGCTGTGACTGACCTATTAGGAAACAGAGGGATTTTTGTTTGTTTTTAGAGATAGGGTCTTGCTCTATTGTCCAGGCTGGAACTCCTGGGCTTCCGCAAATCCTTCTGCCTCAACTTCCTGAGTAGCTGGGACTACAGATATGCACCACTACACATGGCTAATTTTTAAACATTTTTGGAGAAATGTGAGCCACTATGCCCAGTACAATATTGTTTTAAGTTTGATTAGGATGATTATAGTTAGAGTCTTGAATTCTGTATGTGGCAAAAAAAACTTTACAGAATTTAGATAGATGAGGAAAAGGATGCTGTTGCACTTTGAGGGCTTTGTAATATGCTGCTTTTAAAAGACAAAAAGTAGTTGATACTCAGTGTATCTCCAGACATATTAAGGGGTTGCCCTGAATAACAAATCAGGTGATTTTTTTTTTCTATAACTTCCCAGGTTTTATGCAAAAATTTTGTTAAATTCTATAATGGTGAGATGCATCTTTTAAGAAAGATGATACACTTTAAAAAAATATTTCTGTAAGAACTGACAGAGGAATTTGCTTTGTATAATGCAAGCTGGCTTTAAGAAAGCATTGTAGCAAATTTACTACAAGTCTAAAATTATTATAGATATGTTAATATGTGCAACTAGATATGGACAGCAATTGTATTTTTTTAAATAAATATTTTTAACAAAATGATTTTCTGAATTGATACTCATTTCCCTTCTCCCACTTTCGTTTAGGTGGTCCCTCTACAGTTTCTGTATTGTGTTTTAATCTGTGTTAACTGTGGGTAAGGAAAGAATTCCATGTTCCCAATAATTAGCATTAAAACCTGATCTTCAACTATTTGATACATTAAAATATGTAAAGCTTAGATTGGGCTACGGGTGAAGAGGGGAGATTATGAAGTGGTTGTTGACATGAAAGGAATTAAAATAGAACTGATGGCTAGAAAAATTATTCACCGTGTAAAATTGCTTTTTATTTTACTTTTAAAATTTAGTTAACATTTTTAAAGGGTTTTTAAATTTTTAATCAGTTGCTTTTATTCTAGCTCTTGTAAGAAGGAACTTTTGCTTGTTTCTGTTCTAAGCACTGGTTTCTTTGTGTAGTTTTTGAGAGAAGAAACTGGCGACTTCATTTAGCAAATGAAATGAGGCCTTTTCAGAACTGGGTCAAAATAATATACATAGGGGAAAGTGGGGTTAATAGGTGGCTGAGTCACATCAGAGAGAGCTGTTCCATATCTCTAGATGAAAATAACAAGAGGGTAGAGTGACAGATTGCTCAGGGTGGGATCAGCAGTTCACTAACCCTGGTGAAATGTCCCTTCAGATGGTGAGTCGTAAGCTATGTTCAGCACAGCTGGGCAGTGACCCCTTGTGAGGGCTGCAGGACTCTCAAAACACTACTATCAAAATGTGTCAACAAGAACAGTCATCCTATAAGGTCAGATGAGTTTGGGAAATTGAGTCTTCACGTCTTGGAAATTCAAAATGCACTTTAGAATATCAAAAGCTCCAACTCCTTCAGTCAAAAAGCCTGTTTAAGCCACCACTTTCTAACCTTTCTGACTATTGAAGTTTCTTTTGAGAGCGTGGTTATTTTGCAAGCACTTTGTTTTTTAGACATATGTGATGAAAACTAATACCCTAATATTGGGTAATTTTCCAGGGCTGGCATTATCAGGTAGGAGATAATAATTGCCAGTTGTACAACTTCATCACATAGCACTGCACTGACTGGAATTCACCCTGTAACTGAAGGGAGTCCATGAAGGTGACTTCATATGGAATAACTAACAATGCATAATATTGAACATTAAAACAGGAGCAGTCTCTAACAGCTGTGTCAGTCAGTTAACCAGCAGTGGTGTTGAGGTTATTAGAGCATCAGAGTCCATTTATGATTTCTGTGTATTTTAAATGCAGCACCATCATTAACCAAAACCCTCTCTAGGCAAGGTCACCTTCCATGTTGCCACATCCAGTGGTTGATGTTCAGTCCTCTGGTTGATGTTCAGTCCTCATTGGACCGCTTGGCAGCACTGTTTACTTCCTCCTTCTGGAGATACTCTTCATATGCCTTCCAGGAAACCACATTTTCTCATGAACTTCCTCCTGCTGGAAACTTCTTTTTCTAACGCTGTAGAGGTTGAAGGAACCCCAGACCTCTATCTAACCATCTCATTCTACATTTATTCCCTAGGTTGTCTTGTTTTAGTCCCATGGCTTTACACACTTTTTTTTTTTTGAGTTGGAGTTTCACTCTGTCACCCAGACTGGAGTGCAGTGGCATGCTCCCGGCCACCACAGCCTCGACCTGCTGGGCTCCGGTGATCCTTCCGCCTCAACCTTCCAAGTAGCCGGAACTACATGCACGCACTACCACGCCTGGCTAATTTTTTACTTATTGTAGAGATGAGGTCTTGCCAAGCTGCCTGGGTGGGTCTTGAACCTGTGGGCTCAGGCATCCACTCACCTTGGCCTCAAAGTGCTGGGATTACAGGCTGAGCCACTGAGCCCGGCCTAAGCATTTTCTATATGTATGTGACCACAGAATTTATATCTTCAGCCTTGACTTCTCATTTAAGTCCTAGACTTCTATGTCTAACAGTCTTCTTGACATCAAAGACCACATCATAAAATGATTATGCCCATGACAGAATTCTTGAGTGCCTGCCAAGGTCTTCCAGTATTAAATGGCCTCATATGGCTTCATATACCCAGTTACTTAGGTCAGCTGCCTTGTGGTCATCTTTGATTCCTATCTTTCTCTTATGCCCTACACCCAATCCATGCAAATTCTGTCAGTTTGCCCTACAAAACAGCTTTAGTCCACTTACTTTCATCACTTCCATTGCTACCAACACTGTCCAGGTCACCGTCCTCTCTCCATAGTCTACTGCAGTTGTATCCAGCTCTTCTTCCCAACTCTGTGTATTTTAAATGCAGCACAATCATTAACCAAAACCCTCTCTAGTCAAGGTCACCTTCCATGTTGCCACATCCAGTGGTTGATGTTCAGTCCTCACTGGACCGCTTGGCAGCAGAGTAGTACTTTGAAACAAGTAAATCAGATCATGTCACTTGGCTGCTCACAGCTCTCCCAATAATCTTGCATCACTTTAAGCACTCCTACCATGGCTTATGTGATGTGCCCCCTGGCAGCCACCCAAGCCTGTTTCCGGCGATTCTTCTCCTCCCTCACTGCACTTAAGCCACACCAGCCTACTTACTGTTATCCAAATAGTACAGGCATAGTCCAGTTTAAGGCTCTTGCACTTGCTGTATCCCCTCCTGATAGGACCTTTCCCAGGTGTGTGGATAGCTTGCTCCCGCATGTTCTTTATTTTTTTCATGGATGGGACCTCCTTAGGCCTCCGGAGCATCTCTTGACATTGCCTATTCCCACCCCACGCCCCTGCTTTTTCTCTCTGGCGCCCCATTACCCTCACCCTGTGACTTGCCACATGTATCTGTTTGCTGTCCATATGTCTTCACCTACAGCATAATCCCTGTGAGGCAGTGACTTCTGTCTGAATCACTGCTTTGTCTTTGCACCTAGATCAGTGCCTTGAACCCAACAGGTGCTCAGTAAATCTTTGAATGAACAAGTGCATTCTCTCTAAAAGGCCTCTATGTTGCTCTGCCCTCCTTTAGTGAATCAGGTGTGCTTGATGGGTTAGAGTCCCATGTCCAAGTAGCAGAGGGAAATCTGGGAACAGGGTCACTCCACAGCACTCCAAAACACCAAATTCTAGAAAGGAAGGAGACCAGGAAGAAGACCCTACTTGCTAACTGGTTATTTATTGAGACAGAGTCTTGCTATGTTGCTCAGGCTGGTCTCGAACTCCTGGACTTAAGCTATCCTCCTGCCTCTGCCTCCCAAGGTGCTGGAATTATAGTTACCATGCCAGCCTGTAACTGATTTTGAAGTATGGTATAAGAATCTGAGCCGGGCTCGGTGGCTCAGCCTGTAATCCTGCACCTTTGGGAGGCTGAGGTGAGTGGATTGCCCGAGCCCACAGGTTCGAGACCCCCCTGGGCAGCAAGACCTCATCTCTACAATAAAATCAAAAAATTAGCCAGGCATGGTAGCGCGCGCCTGTAATTCCGGCTACTCAGAAGGCTGAGACGGAAGGATCGCCGGAGCCCAGTAGGTCGAGGCTGCAGTGGCCGGAAGCGGCCACTGCACTCCAGTCTGGGCGACAGAGTGAGACTCCAACTCAAAAAAAAAAAAAAGAATCTGTCTGCCTTCCCCTCATTCTGATTTTATGTAATAGGGAGCAGTGGCTCTCAACCCTCCTGTCTATGAGAGTTTTGTTTTTTCTAAAATACCAGCCTATAGACCTCCAGTATGAAAGAGACCTGTCTCCAGTGAACATCAGGCCATTTGTTTCTGAGTTTATACAAAAGGATCAATTCTCCTTCATACAATGGATAATACATTTATTAAGTTTAAAATATTTTATTTTAGGAAAGTTACTCTTAGATTTGTTTTAATCTTATTTTCTATGTTAACAAATCAGTCATGATCAACTTAGATATAGCCATTGATTCTTCTTTCTAAATCTGTATAAAAAGAATTTCTTGAAAAACCATGAGAAAAGTACAACTGCTTTCTCTTTGCCCAAGTCAGTTATTCACTACAGTAGTTAGACTGCACCTTTACGTTTGTCTGGCATCTAATATTTTTAAGTCTTTACAAACATAGTTAAAACTATACTCCTAGACCACCAGCTTTCAAAAGAAGTTGGATCTGTTTGACTTATGATAAATATGTACCAAACATATGAACAATTTCAAAGCTGCGCGTGAGGTTTTAAAAATAAAAATTGCTAACATTTATTAAGCAATTTCTATGTCAGGCATATAGCAAGTGCTTTATACAAGTTCACGCAAGTCTCTCAGAATTCCTTTGAGGTAGGGTAGGTACTTTTAGAAATGCCACTTTACAGGTAAAAAGGTGAGGCTGGAAGAGCCTCAGTCACCTGCCCAGGGCCATACAGCTAGAAGGTGAGCCAGTGCCTGAAGCAGGATTCTTTCTCCACTGGGCTGTTCTCACTGGGCCCTCTTGCAGCTGGTCAGAGCTGACGAACTTGGCAATGTCTACAGATCCAGGAACACCTTTGAGTTTCAGGCGTGTGAACCACAGCACTTGGGACATGTTGCCAAGAACCCTGATCCTCTTAATTTTTCTATTTGTACATGTACATTTGTATATACATAGAGAAAGTACAGGCAAACCATTATACAGTCACTGTAACAGCCATCCCTACCACCAGCAGTCTCTGGACCTGCTCCCTGTCCAAACCAGTGAGTTTGCATTCTCTCTTGGCATGACTATAGAATTTGCTCTGGACAAATAATGAACAGCTTTCGAAATGAAAATTTAACAGCTCTTCTAAGCTGGTGGGAGCCAGCCCAGCATGCCACCAAATGAGTGTCCCAAAGATAGCAAGACTCAACTTTTCCTTTTGATATTTTAGAATATAGATAAATGATCAGTGTCTGCAGCAGGAATTTGAGGGACTTTGGACTAATAAGTGAAAAGCATACAAGTCCTTTGAGCATGCCAGGGAATAACTTGGGGTTTGTTTTGCTTAATTTAAAATATATCTACATGTAGCAATGATCATCGAGCTTTGCATTTGCAACCTATTTTTTAAAACTTGAACTAAGAGTGATCTGAAACCCAGGGTATGGTCGGTCCATGCATGAGATGACAGATGGAGTGAAGCGTGTGGATTTCTTCTTCCTTCCCATCTGGGTATCCTGGATGGCTCTTACCAGAAGCCTGACCCAGGGGAAAAGGTAACTTGAGCCAGGTAGACATCTAATGATTTTGACCCAGGTACCAGGACTCAATTTGATTTCTTCTACCAAACCCAGCATTAGTGGAGAAGATTTGAATAAAGTCATTGAGAGATGGCCTCCATCGCCACCTCAGCTTTCTTAAACAGTTTGGTCATGCTGGTGATTAAGAGGCTGAAAGTCTTCGCTGGCCTCCTTCATCCAGTTTTACCTCTGATAGCGCTCAGAGTTTTCCATTCCAAGTGTTCTTTCTTGGGCAGGAGCTACAAAAGAAAAGCAAAACTCAAACATGCTTCAGCAGCTCTGATTAGCAGTGATGATTCATTCTGAGTCCTTACCTGGGCTTTGTGTTTCTCTGCCATTCTATGGCTCTTGAGGGAGCAAAGTGAAAAGTCAGACCTAGTTTTGGTGAACTATTGGTGGAGACAGTTTTTGAGACTAGTGTCTAGGACTTAGAGAATATGCATTTCTTTTTTGTTTTCCATGAATAAGGAACCCATTAAGTGTTATTCATTTGATATTAAGCAAATATTAATCATATGTGGCTGGGCATTGTGGCTCAGACTTGTAATCCCAGCACTTTGGGAGACCAAGGTAGGAGAACTGCTGTGCCCAGGAGCTCAAGACCAGCCTAAGCAACATACCTCATCTTTACAAAGAAGAAGAAGAAGAAGAGGAAGAAGAGGAAGAGGAAGAGGAAGAGCCTGGGCAAAAGAATGAGAACCCAACTAAAAAAATAAATTGCATATGTGTCTTAAATGAAACTCTGCACTGAGTGCCAGGCTAGACAGTAGTCTATACTGCCGTCTTAGAAGCAAGACTATAGTTAGTGTCAGTGCCGTTTTGGTGGCCCCCTGTTCTTCTGGACCTTGTTTTTTTTTTTTGGCAGGTCTCATTCTTTTGTTCAGGCTGGAGAGCAGTGGCACAATCACAGCTCACTACAGCCTTGAACTCCTGGGCTCCCAATCCTCCTGCCTTAGCCTCCCAAGTAGGTGGGCCTACAGGTACACACCACTAGTTTTGGCTAGTTTTTAAATATTTTTGTGGAGACAGGGTCTCACTATGTTGGCCAGGCTGATCTCAAACACCCAAAGCACTGGGTGTATATGTGTGAGCCACAGTACCCGGCCTGGCCTGGGCCTTTGTACTGAGTGCCTAGCAGGTTGAAATGTCCAGCCAGTGAGAGATAATGGCGGATGCCTGTTCCTTTAGTCTTTTTGTGATTTTGCTTTTTATGGAGAGGGCTCTGCCCAGGCACCTTCTCTTAAGAACTGGCTCCACATATGACTGGTACAGTCGCTGGACACTTTTGAAAGCTCTGGACAGAAGGGCAGGTGAAGGCACAGGACTATGAAAATAGTTTAGGGACTCCCCCTGCCGGGGGTCTCCAAAAGGGAGACTATTCTTAGTAGACGTCTCTGCCCTGAAGGAGTCTTTCTTTGCCACTTGGCCTGAAGGACTTCTTTTTGAAAAAGAGATTTGGACTAGAGTCAAAATCCTGAACTGCAAAGAGATGGCCAATTAGGCCGCTGGGCTGAGTTCCAGCCAAGGAGTCAGGCTCTGCCTTTCCATGCCCTGAACAGGCTGGAAGGAGATTCTTGGCCCCTGGTTCCATGACATGGTGGGATGCAGGAAGCCAGGTTCACAGTCCATGCCCCTCTGCTCATGGAGAAAACATAAGTCAGCCAACCTGCCTGGCTTAAGAGTCCAACACAGACAATCGTATGGAAAGCAGGAAGAGGGGAAGAGGAAACTGTAGAAAAATAAACATTTCCTTGCATTTTACTTGGAACACAACAGCTTTCTGGCACGTTAAGATCCACAGCATCTCCCCCCGTCCTCCCCCTGCTATTTTCCTCCTCTTGTGTACAAATGGATTCTTTCCTTACCTGATGGGAGTCCAGGGTGCATCCTGTGGAAAAACAGGAGCAAGATGTAGAAGGTAAAAGCCAAGCAGCCAAAGATCACGCCACAGACCAGGAAACTATAGCTGCCCTGGGCCTGGAATATCTGCCAAAGGGGAAAGCACAGAGACACAGGCCATTAAAAGTTCACATAGAAGATGGATTAGAGGAAGCGGCCATCCCAATCCTTGGCAGGTTTTTCAGTCAAGTTGAGGCCCATCACCCCAGCAGATAGAAACATGAGGAGAAGGGAAGTCTCGGCCTTGTTTCAAGGTTATATATCTGGAGGAGGCAGAAGTCCTGCTCTAAGGCAGGGATGGACCTGGTGACTCCCTCCAGTCCCTTGTAGCTCTGTATTCTGGAACTTTCTGAAAATCTCCATATCATCATTGAAACTCCAGTGATACTCGGTGTTTCTGTACCCACAAGGCCTAACCAAAACTTGTGCAAAGGATATGTACGAAGGGGAACCCCCCCAAAAAAACTGGAATTATCTTTTGCAGGGTGGGCCCCTTGTAGTATAGGCTTCCCCCACTAGATGAGTCTTCTAGGAACCCAGTGGTATCAGTGTACCAGCTAGCATTGTTGTGAGAGGCTGCGTTCAGGTTCACTGAATTTGTTTTTGGAGATTCTTTCAACATGTTTGCCCATTTTATGATGGGTGATTGACAAGCGCACCTGCCCACACTGTGCTGAGTATTCAGCAGTTTTTAACCCAAAACGGCATAACTCCTGTGTCCCACCCTCCCTATTCACCCATCTCACCCCAAGCACCTGTTTTGTTGTTGTTGTTTGTTTCCCTGATGAAAAAAGTCCTCAAAGGGAAATGTTTTGCTGATGCGGAAAAGATGAAACGAAAAACAGCAGAAGCATTAAAAGGCATCAAAATTGAGTTCAAAAACCATTTTGAGCAGTGGAAAAGGCGTCTCGATAGGTGTATTGCATCAGATAGATCAGAGAGCTCTGATCAGAGAGAAGTGTAAACATGTAAGAATAAATACACAATTTTTTATAAATAAATTTCGGGTTTTTTGGGGTTCCCCCAGTACATATTTTTTTAACCTGCTATTATGAAAATGAAAACATATGCTAGAGTAGTATATGGAGCACCCATGGGCCTGTCACTCAACTTCAGCCATCAGCACCAGTCTCATCTGTAGCCTTCCACTTTTCTGCACTAGATTACACTGAAGTGAGTCCCAGACATTACGTCACTTCAATGAGGAGAGTATCATAAGATGTAGCTCTTCCCCTCCATCCAGCAGGGCAAGAGAAGAGAAAAGCAGACTCGAGAGGTGGTGAGGGGGATCTGGAGACAGACAGACCTAGGTTTGATGTCATCTCTGTTGGTTGCTAGAAATGTGACTGACCTAGGGCAAGCTGCAATTTAGCAATTTATATCTGAGTTTCAGTATCCTCTGCTGTAAAAAGAGGAAGAGTACCTACATCATAGTATTCAAGTAGATGTTAGGAATTTTTTTCCTGGTAAACAAATGAATCCTGGGGATGTCTGAAGAGAACTGGGAGAACTGGCCCTTGGTCAGGGCGGGAAGCTGGCCCTACACAGGGTGGCCAAAGGCTGTGAGAGGGAGGGTAGGGAGAGGTGGGCTGAGAAGGGATGGAAAAAGAACTCTGACTGCAGCTCAGCCCCTTCTCAGGCTCTGAGGGCTAAGCAGGATTCCCACGGGCCCCCTTGGCCCTGCTCCCAGACATGGCTTGTGTTTGCTTTGGACTCTTCCAGGCATCCGTTCACGTCTCCCAATCCAACAGATGGAGGCTCGGCTTTCAAGGCAGGCCCAGAAACGGAAACAGGTAGCACCAGAACAGGGCCCCTGCCTGCTCTGTGGGAGACTTTGGAAAGGGACAGTGTGGGTTCAGAAGGTGGCTGGCTGCATTTCTCACCTGCTTGGAGGATTGCTCCCCAACTGCTTCCCTCTCCCCCCTGAGGTCCCCACATACCGAACCAACCAGCATCTGCAGGACCATCTCGCCAATTCCTGCCCCCGTCACCAGCACTGTGGTTGCACAGCCTAATGAAAAGAGAAGGGTTTGGCTTGGTAAAAGCTAGTTAAAGAGACAGAAGTCCACTAGCTGTTAGAATCTAGGTTGTGGGCCAGGCGCGATGGCGCATGCCTATAGTACCACTGCTTTGGGAGGTCGAGGCAGGAGGATTTCTTGAGCCCAAGAATTCGAGATTGCAGTGAGCCATAATTGTGCTACTGCACTGCAGCCTGGGTGACAGAGTGGGACTCCAACTCTAGATAAGAGAAAAGAAATCGAGGTTGTTTCTGGGAGGTCTCTGGAAGATGGTGCGGCGAAGAGGCCTACTTTGGATTCCTAAGATATCTTGGACATTAGCCTATAGCTTTGCTTTGGGAATACCTAGGTCCTACTGTTATTACGTCCCTTCCTTGTTCTACAACCTTCAATTGCTCACAAGTATCTCACAATAAATCCCAAGTTGCTTATCCTGGCATTCAGGGCTTTTCCCAATCTGACCACCACCTACCTTTCCAGAAAGACTTCCTGATACCCTCAGGCCGTCCCACAGCCTCACTGCCCTGGCTTTGCGCTGACCAAGCTACACGCCCCTGATGTGTCTGGCAGCACGGCACAGACCTTCAGAGTCCAAGCTTCAGAGTCAGACTTGGGTTCCAAGCCCAGCTGTGTCACCTACTAGACATGCGACCTCAGACGAGTTCTGGAACTTTTCTGGGCCTTGGCTTTCTTCTCTGTAAAATGGGCATCCCACACCTCCTTCACAGAGTTGCTATGTGGGTAACTCTGATGGAACACATGCCAAGGGCCCAGCGGAGTGTTGGCACACAGTTAATACACAAAACCAGGCCAGCTCTCTGTGCCGGCCCTTTAGGCTAAGGCCCAAGCGCTCGCACGTGGCATGCCACGCCCTCTAGAGTCCTCCCTGCCGATGGCTCAGGCTCATCCCTCATGTGCTGCCCTCCACCCAGGAGGCATCCCTTCACTTTTCCTCACTCTCTACTCCAGATTCTGACACGCACTCCTGAATGCTTCTCCTCCTCCTCTTTTCTGGCAAGCTCCCCTTAAACTTTCAGGTCCTAGTTTAGAGTTCGTCAGCAATCTTTTTCCCGGTCCACACACCAGGATGAGTTGCTCCTCTGCCCTGGTAGCCCCTGCATCTGCTCTCACCCCAGTGTCTGTTGGCTGGCCAGCACCCACCTCTCGGAGGGCCCCAACAAGTCCAGGCGAGGGCGGCATGCCTCATTTTGTAGTTCACTAGCATATCCCAGTGCTTGTTAGTAGTACAACAGTTCACACATGGTAGACACTGTTTTTTGCATAAAACAGTCATCATCATTGTCCACCCTAGGCTGATCCTTCCAGCTTTTTTTGGTCCTACATCTGTTCAGACCCATCTCTGTGTCCGTGCTCTCATGATGGTCACTGCCCGCCCTTCCCAGGAATGTCTTTCCTTTCTTCTCTCTGCCTTTCTAGATCCTAGGCCAGCTCACATCCCATCCCCTCCATGAAGCTATCTCTAAATTTAACACTGGCCGCTCCCTTCTCTGAACTCCAGTGGCCTGTTCCACTTATTCATTCAGAAAGTCTTGAGGACCCTTCATGTACCGGGCACTGTGCTGAACACTGAGGAATACTCAGACGAACACAAAGAATTAATGGACGTGGAGCACCTGTGAATTGGCTACGATGCTAAAGCAAGAGCTTTACATCTTCTCTAATGCACGTGACAATCCTGAAAGGTAGGTATTTGCATCCCCATCTTACAGATGAGAACATTGAGGCTCAGAGAGGAAGATATGGAAGTGCACAAGGTCAGAAAGCCAGTAGGTATGGAGGCAGGACTGAGACTCAGGTCTGCTGTCACTCTCCCAGTGCATGCTCTTTTCCTTGTCCTTTGCTGGGGGCCTGCTATCCAGGAGAGGAGGCAGGTAACATAGGTACAAGAGCCTTGAGATGGGTCAAACACGAATGACAGGTGCAATGTCACTGGGGCACAGAGGAGGGGGCACACCTTTCAGAGAAGCTTCCTGGAGCAGGAGGGACTCGAGCTGGGTCTAGAA